ACCATTTGATGTGCCATTGCCACAATAGATTTGCCACATTCAGAAGCTCCACTTTTAAAACCATCATCAATCCCTAATGATTTTGGAGGGTCAGTTACATTTTCACCCAAACTTGCAGCTGCTACTGCATCTATAAAATGTATACAACAGTTAGTTAACTATTTATTTTACTGTAAACATAAAAATGGTTAAAAACCAATGTATTTAAAAAATAAGTGTTTTATGTATCATAAATTATTATAGTTGAAGTATTTRACCATATAAGTAACTATTAAAGTAATATTATTAGTGTCAATGATAGATGATTTCCAATAAAGAGCAATAAATATATTTTCTACATTAATGTTTAGTTTTTGATTTAATTTCAAGATACAATATGTATAATTATAGATAAATAATCATCACTTGTTTCCTTAATAATGGTTAATAAATAGTAATAAGTGAGTAAATGGTTAACTTTTTGGAGAAAGTGGACACATTTGAATATTTGATCATAATTTAAAACAAATATTTATTTTTTGTACAATGGTTTATTTACATCACACTTTATGATTTTTATTTATAGTTCAATGCCAAGTTTGTTCAATAAGAYTATACATTTGATACATTATGTACTTTAGTGCTAGTTTTTAAATAAATAATTAAATTATTATAGTTAAATGTGGCTTGTAAGTTTCCAAAATAATCTTGACCACGAGCCCTGAAAAACTAGGTATGCCAGTATGCCACTGAATTTAAGCATGCTCTAGTCTAAATTATAAAATCTTAGAACAGTTAAACTCGGTTACATTACAAGGGTTTAACCAACTTTTTAAAAAATGATTTAACAATTAAATAGTTTTAACATTTGAAGGTCTTTTCTGTTTGTAATACAATATTCAATTTTGATATGAAAAAATATGTAACAGTATTTTGTGTGAAATTACAATTGTTAGATTACATATAATCTAAAACATATAATTACATTTAAATAAATAAGTAACTATATGTCACTATTTTCAATAATGCTACTGAATTATAATAAAGAAAAAAAAAATTTAAATAATAATATCATATTTCTTCACAGGTCAAATAATGTTCACGCAACAGGAAATGTAATTGTAGAGTGGCATATTTTACTATATTTAGACAGTGTGGGCTATGAATCATTTAAAGTGTATGATTTAATTAGTTACATAATACAAATCATAGTTTGTAATCTTAAACCTACATGATATTTTAATTGATACAAAAAACTACGTTTCAAATTTCTATAMAATTTAAGTAGATATAATTAATCGGTAATTACATATTACGCATAAATATTAAATATGTTTCATCATAAAACTCTATTAATATTTAACCACAGTTAATTAACATTTAAATAATATGTATATCATATAAA